AAGAGACACATTGGCTACCGGTAGCCCAGGGGCGCCATCCTCTTTCCTCGTATTGTCACCCAGCAGCCAAAGCTCCATATCGTTTAAACAAGCGGATACGGCGTCACCAGTTCTTTTGAGTGAACTGGAATGGAGTGACTAGCTTTTTAATATAAATTATGTGGAGTTGCTGCTTGCTTTATTTTTACAGAACTTAGTAGAGATGTATCCAAACCACCATCAAAGTGGAAGTCTCTCTTTCGGTCTAGATCGGATAGCTTTTATATGAACTAACCACTAGACACGATTCACAAAAAAAAGACTTGGTCAACATAAATTTCAGCGCAGCTCTTTCGATTTATTCAGCTGTAAGAATGGACCATTGTTTTTTAATTGACTTAATTACGTCACCTAATTAAACAATGGAACTTAACACCCAATATCATGAAATTAAATTTTCCCTGTAAATTTCATTTCTTAATGTTAAGTGTGAATAAAAAATGTTTTACACTTAATTTCAAATATTAACTTTTCAGTTTAATTCCCTTATTCATAGGTAAGTAATTAACTGATAACCGTGAGTCAAATACAACTAACTTTTGACTATTTTTTCAGACGACAAGCCATTTTCTCAAAAATTAACAATATTTCAAAAAGTTTGATAGAAAGATTTCTGATGTCAAGAAGTCACATCCTACGATTTACTTTTTGAAATTTGTGACGAAATTTATTTTCAATTCTTAATGCATGACTAACAACAATAGACATTGCAAGTTTGCTTGTCACTATTCTGATCGATTCAAATATTTGACTAATTAGATTTTGCGAGGGATTTTCTGCACTATTAGTTGGTTGAAAGCCAGTCGAGATCGAGTCGATTTATGGGTTTATGACGATAATCTTTCATATAAACCTAGGAAAACGCCTGTTTTGTCTGATTAATGGAAGAAGAAGTTGTTGCTGCAGTGTGATTGGTCAAAAACAGAGCAATCAGATCTTAGGAGGAGTTTTCTTCACTTGTGCATAACGTCCTAATTTAAAGAAGTCGCCTTTTGTTAGTGTGATTCTTGGACTCCAAGTGCAAAAAGTGAATCGCAGAATCTGATTCCTGGTCCTCGAGAAACTTTCGTTCAAACTTTTGAAAACGATACTCATTAGGGAAAAATTCTTCTCGTAAGAAAAAGCATTGATGTGAACTGTATTTCACTTACGCTTATAGTGTTTCACTTTATTTTAAGTGACTTAAGTGTTAAGTTTTCCAACAAGACTTAAATCTAATTATTAAGTATCAAGTAGAATAAGTCAAGTTAATTTCAAATTAAGTGTAATGGCCCACCTCTATGGAACTGTTAGCTATCGTAGATATATCTCCCATTACATTTATCGTTTAGAAATATAGTGCATTTATAACAAATATGCAAGAGTGTGAAAATGTTATCGATTCACGACTGCTATTATTAACGACAAAAGTGTTTTATATTGCTTTATACGCACTGTTTTATACTGGCATCATAATGCGACATACTATGGGTAACACGCCACATTTGTTAACAACTGCGAGGTAAGGCATTACGATTTATTTTAACAGAACACGGTAGGTTATCATTTACCCTAAATTGTGGTACCCTGAATGTGGCCCTAAATTCAATCCACATTTGTGGATAATGAAATCCAAAAAAGTGAAAAATGGTAACCATGTAGGGATTTTGACTTAGGGATTTTTTCATTTAGAGATTTTCTAAATTACAATATACCAGACACATTGTATCGCGAGTCATTCTCCTTCGCTTACAATACCCAACTATCTAGAATCAATATTTCGAACTTACGAAGGATGTTGCAATACATCTGGTGACCAAAATGTATTTTGGATTTTAATGCAACATTTCTTGGCGTCTAGCAACAGAAGCGTTTGTTTTCGATAATTAGCCTTCGTAGATCATCTAATGCAACAACAGTTTTAGCCATCAAGAAATAGACAAAGAGTTTTCAATTTTTTCATAAATGTAGACTGTGCAAAAAATTATTGAAGTTTTCAATTAACATAAAATGTAAAAGTTTACATGTACTTTTTGAAACTAAGTAGCGTTTGTGCGACTAGCATAAAAAAATCATTCTTTACAACACAAAAAATGCTATCAGTCGTATAGTGCTAAAAGTTATTATCCTTATCATTTGATACCTAACCTATGGTACATGGACTCTTCACACCGCTAATCAACAAGCAGTCAGTTTTCAAAACTAAATATAAAGTGTCATCGCTAATCGCTACTGTATCGATCACAACCTTCTTTTAATGATCATCTTATAATGTAATAGGTTGTACAAAAGGTTTCACTCATTTCGCATATCGTAAAACTATCAATCAGACGAACAAGCAATACGCGCACAAACTCAAAATGACCAGTTGGGTATTTGTCGAAGGGATCGATGAGTGGCTCCATATTTTTCCGAAGGATCTGGTGATCAGTTATGTTTTTCTCGGAAGTATCTGATGCCTAGCTTCATGTTTTGTGGAACTCACGTATATTTTCGAAGAAAATCGTGAGTGTAAGTTTTAAGTTCGAGGTTTGGCGGCTGCTCTCCCCCCACCCCATTACAGACATACCCCGCCCCCCCCCCCCCCATTACACACAGACCCCATTACAGACATCCTTCTATTACGGACACCCTATTACAGACCTTAGTAATCGAAATAACAGGCGTCAGACTTCCTATAGTTTTTTGCAACATCGATCAAGTTATAATTTTGAAAGATAATCAACATCATTATCTGTGAGTTGATTAATATATATAATAGTGCATAATATCTGCTGTAGATATAATTGATATGTAAAACAGACGTATTTGCCAATTAATTCAATGATTATAAAATAAAATATAAAATTAAGACAAAAAAATTGTGAAAAATGAAAAATAGTGAACAAATAGCAACAATGAAAACGAAAAATAAGGGCGCTGGTCGGAAAATTAAAAAACTGAGAAATTTTTGATTTCATACTTTCTATGTTTCATATTAGTATAATGAAGCTGAAGAACATACGTCAGTTCCATATTTCAGCCCCAAAGGGGCTGCGCTAACAAGCTTTTTTTCGGAAGACCTGGTGACCAGGTCCATAGTTTTCATAAAGAACTGAATAATCGAACACTTCCATTCCTTGACTGGGACCTCTTACAGTTCTGATGATAATACTTCTAGTATTCGAAAAGGACTCAATAAGAAATTCGTAAAAAAATCCCTAAATGTAAAAATTCCTAAATCAAAATCCCTACATGGTTACCATTTTTCACTTTTTCGATTTCATTATCCACAAATGTGGATTGAATTTAGGGCCACATTCAGGGTACCACAATTTAGGGTAAATGATAATCATTCTAGAACACAAAAAATATTTTAAGGATCCTTATGGCTATTGATTTGGAATTGTGGTATATGCGATCTTTGAAATTTATGATTTCACACAACTATCTTGGACCTAAACTTCTGATGATTAAAAGTATGGTAAGTGATGTAGTGAAGTCTTTAAAAATGGCCTACCATGTTTTTCTATTAGGCACGTGATTTGGCTTCTTTCTTATATATCATATTTGTATTCATAATCGCTTATGGTGTTGTTTCGCGTGCTATGATCATGTATAAAAAAGTCGATTTCAATGTTCATGACATATTTAGTCGAATACTTTATCCTCCCTTTTCATTTTTATTTGGTGGTAGCGATAAACTTCTTGAAGGCAAGTAGGAATTTGAGAGTAATCCTAGAGATATGCCATTATGTTTTTAGAAATGAGTGAAAACAAAAATAGAACTTACATTGCAGAAACATCTGTTACGCATGTCCTGTTAGCAATGCATATGCTATTTATCAGTATACTTATCTTAAATCTTCTTATTGCTATGTTCGGGTAAGTGAATTTGATATCTAAGACAGCGTAAGCTGTTTCTTAACTTCTTAGTTTTACAATAAATACTGTTCAAGTTAATACAGAATTTCATTGGCAATATCAGCGATATCTATTGATACATGAATATTTCGAAAAACCTCTGTTTTCATATCCACCGTTGACCATTTTATCACATATGTGGCTCTTGATAACATATATATTGTATATAGTTATAAAAACTTATAATCGTCGTTGCAATAATCAACCTGATGAAAAACCTGATAAACTAAAAGCAAACGTTTTTAGTAAGAAATAGAAAACAGTATATGTGCCAAATATTCCTTTTTTTCATCGAAAGAAATAATGCCAAAGAATGAAGAACTAATGAACTACCGTTGGGACTGCTTTGAAAATGCAGCAACGAAAAGCTATGCAAAATCGATGGTGGAAAATAAATTTACTGTGAATCCAAGGTAAGTTTAAAACATCAACGATAATGTGTTTCAATTATTGAAGCTGTCAGAACGTTGGGTAAATAATGTAGATGAGAAGCCAATATCGTTCTAGCCCAATCTATATGAATTGCTTTCTTCTAAAACTGCTAGACAAACTATAGTGAGCACTTGTATTTTATATCTAGTCATAAGTAAAACTGTTTTAATCTTTTTCGTTTTTCTGGATTCCCGACTGGATATAACGAGTACTCAGGTTACTTAAACCTGTTGAGGATTTATGATCGATTTCTGAAATCCTATACTTTTAGTATCGTACTTTAATTCTTTTACAATTTATTATCTGTTCTAGCCTTACAATTGATGATATACACGATGAAATGGGGCAACTGCGATCAATTATCGAAAACCTTCAGGCACCATCAACCAACAAGCCATGAACAAAATTTATTCTATTTTTTTCATTTTCTCTCATTTATTGCTATTTAAGTTTTAATTGCATTTTTCTAAACGCTATTCATATTAGTTTGCTTCCTTTAGTATGATATCACGTGTCTATGCCCTATTTTTTTACATCACAAGATGCATGCGTTCTTTATTCATAGATAGATACTTGGAATTATTTCATATTTTTTCATTATGGCGATGAACGCTGAATCATTAGCTCAATTCGACGATATTCAGGCACAACTAAGCCCTCAGACCGAGTTAGTTATGGTTTTCTTTTATGCACAGTAAGTTTACTGTATTGACGACAATAACTGATTTCTGTTTCTTCTTCTCTTAGACGTGTTGGAGAATGCAGTCGAGTGAAAGAATATGTTGATTATTTGAGTAAACATAAAGATTATAAAGATCGTGTTCTTTTCGTCATATGCAATAAGGAAAGCTCCAATCCTGATATCTTTGACAAATACAAGGTCGAACAACTGCCAACATCTCTATTTATTAAAAGCAAAGAGCAAGTTGAATCATCCTCTACTGAACGACCTAAGGATTTAAAGGCCATTATCGATCGTCTTCTTAACGGTGGAAAATAATGAACCAAAAATACCTATTATAAAATGAAACTTCATAAGTTTTTAATCCAGCCTTTCATCTATATTTTTGTATTTCCTCAAATTGATCTTCTCAACTATAAAATTCAAAAACGATCTGAAGATATGCATTAAAATTCATGTATATAAGAAGAGATATCTAAAAAAACTGCACAATCCATGGGTACCTGGAAGCTCGTACGGCAAGATAAGATTTGTGGCAAAAAATTCATGTACATTCATGAACACTGATTCTAAGTAGTCCAATTTATTGTCACTTGACTATCCTTGTTAGATGAACAGGAGCAGTCTCAAAGACAACAGACATCTATGATGAGGATGTGAGTGTGGGTGTGAGTGCAACTGCCATAATCTAGATTTCACTTCAGCTACGAAGATCATCAGATGTCTTAAGGCTTCCCCACCCTAAAAAAGTCAATTTTCGTCAAAATTTTCGATTTTGTGATTTATGCTGCATTAGATAGAGGAAAGTCTCTGCTATTGAATGCACTATAATTTATTCGTTTTATAATAAGATTTAGCGGTATAACATGAGTTTTTCGGGAATCCCTTACTACTCAAAATGACGTTTTTTTCGAGAAATGTGAATATTTAGTCTATTCTAAGTTTCTGTGTTGATTTTTGGCTATGATCGACGTGATCACTTTGTGTTGCTAAATACGATGAACGGATATCTGGGTTTCTACTTCCTCTTTTCTTCTCTTTTTCGTTCAAAAAGCTAAACATCACTGAATATAATTTTTTAACAAATACGACGAAATGGTGCCGCCAAGAAAATTTTGAAAAGAACCAAAGAAAGAAGAATAAAGAAAAAGAGGGAAAAGAGGCGGGGTAGAAGGCCAGGTGAGTATAGAACACGAATTTAAAAATGGTAGAAAGAAATGAAACTAGTCAAGTTAGTTTTTCTTGTAAGAATAGGAACCAAAGACTTCTGTCACAGGAAGAAAGGCAGATGATCCATCATCAAACGAGTTCCACCATTCAATCTAAGGAGGAAAAAGTGATTCTTCATTCTCATCATTAAGCATCAATGAAGAACGAACAGTGTTCGTGCAGAATAAATCTGCATCAAGTTTAGAAACTGTTCAAGACGATTTGAATTTGTTTTCAAGTATTTACATAAAACCTTTTTCATCATTAATGAAACAGTTTTTATATTCGGAGTGTAAATGTTTTTGGGATGGATCAGTATCTATCAAGGAAAAAAATAGATTATATGTGCAGCTTGAATCTTTATGCTCAAACTGTGCCCCTCTTATTAGTTTTTGTACATCACCACAAATTGAGGGTGAGGGTGAGTCAAACAACTACGACGCGTTTCGATCTTGCTAAAGGGTCTCATCAGGTAGTTTTAGACTCTGTAGCCATTCAAGGTAATTCGGAGAATCTAAAATAAGAAGAAAGCTTTCATCTTGTGATATTCTTTGAATATTGGCCGAAGAAACTACAAAATTGTCTTTTGAAAGTTGCTTTTTTGGAATATAGTCTCTTTAATGAATTGATTGTGGGTGTGGGTGTGGGTGTGTGGGTGTGGGTGTGGGGTGTGGGTGTGGGGTGTGGGTGTTGGGTGTGGGTGTCGGTGTGGGTGTGGGCGGATGTGGATGAATGTGTGAGTGTGGGTGATTGTGGATGTAGGTGTGGGTGTGGGTGTGAGTATGAGTTTGCAGAAAAAGAAGCACCCATGCTCACACCCACCCATACCCACATATGCGCCCACCCACACCCACACACACCAGAGATGGAAACGGTACCGGTTACCGGCCGGTCCGGTCCGGTCTGGATTTTAGACCGGTCTACCGGTCGCGACCTGTCTACCGGTAGACCGACCGATCCGGTCCGGTCTGACCTATTTGGATCGGTACCGGTATTCAAAAATCCAGACTGGTTCCATCTCTGACTCACACCCAAGATCTTTATCTTCATTTTTCTTTATTTATTATGGTTCCTACATATTGAAAATATTCGGTACAATTCAAACAAATTGTGCTTAAAGAATATCATTCTGGAGTATATGGCTGTGGTTTTAAATCACTGGCTAAACGCTTTAATATCGCAGGTGGTCATCGGCTTATTTCGTAATGGTATTGACAATAGGATGGTACCATGGACTCTTTGAAATCAAAATGTAAAGGCACTCAGCCACGGGAAATGACGCGTCGAGAAGTGAAAGACAATATAGTGCATTTCGTGAGATCGATGAACCAAGAACATCTACCGATTAATTGCAAGATGGTACACGCTCATGCTCAATCTGCTCTCAAACTAAAAGTGTCTCTACGAACTATCCGAAGATATGGAAAGAATGTGAAATCAAATCGAAAAAAGCTCGCCAAGCAACCAATATTCCAGCTCCGATGATACGCTTATTTTTACTTCAGTCGAAGATAACTTCTAATGTGAGATCGGTCAATTTAGACGGTCATTAAAACATATTGCTAATGCTCGACTAATATCCAAGGACGAGACAGATGCGAAATGATATGACTTCATTCGTGCTATCAATGATTCAAAGTTAATTGCATGTATGATCCTGACACTGACTGATCGCAACGTCAGGGATATCGAAGGTGTTCGACAAATAGTGATTGATGAAATTATTACTGCTGAGTTGGTACTGACTCTAGTATTCTTTTAAAAGACTTGAGTCATGATCAATATCTCTTCGTTGGAAGAACTATACTGTAGCCATGATCAAAGATCTTTTTTCTTTTACGCGAGAGCAGATTGGCCATGCATATCGAAAATGTAGACTAACTCGTAGTTCTGACGAATATTACGACCGACCATGATAGTACTATGATAGGTTTTCTTTCATTCAATCCAGATGTTTGCTTTTACATTGTAGGAGAAAAATGACTACCTTTTCGTCGAACTTTCCTTTTGTCTTGTCAACACGATCTCTCATTCAAGCCGATGCTACCACGTGATGTAACTATGTATGTACTTTCTTCCTGTATATGATACGCTGGAAAACCAGCCAGTTCTTGTCGAGAAAATCAAAAAAAGCAGAAGCAAAAATGCCAATCAAGTTCCACTGTAGTTTGGATTGAAAGACTATCGAGCAATCAAAAGAAGAAATTGACCAAACCGGTAAGCCATTTCGAAGGAAAATCTTTCTTACTTTCTTTTTCACATGAACAGGTCGTTTGATTTTTTTTAGATGCTATCATCTCTAACGACAACGTGTGCAACGAATTCTATTGTGGTTCGATGACAGTAAAATAATGTGTCTTGAACTCAATGAAATAACACATTCATTACTGTTGGGTATTGTATCATCATCATCTCAAGGTATTCGTATTTTGGCTAAAGACGAAAGTCGATGATATTCGAGCTTGCCTCTCTTTCTTCATATGTTCGCTTTCCAATTGATCGAATTTGTTCGTGTCTGAGATTTTTTTTGTATGATACATTTTTCATCCTGAATGTTACAGAGTGGAATACTTGTAAATGAACTGAATCAACAAATGTAATTCTAAGGAAATCATCATAATAAGATCCAACAGGGAGAATTAGAAAAGTGAATCAGATCAGCTACTGATTGATAAGAAACTGTGACAGATCTTCTGACAAGACATGATTTTCAGACTAAGATCTTACAATTTTCTGGTCGCCTAGCTTGGAATAAGTTGTGGTCAGGATCTTGATGATATGCAGAGAGCTCTTGACCAGATCTTGCCCTGGAATTGGTAAGATCAGCTTCTGAATCGCATAAGGTTCGGACTAGAGATCTTGGCTTAGGCTGATCAGGAGCAGCTCATATTTTGGGATTATTAGTTTGACATTGAGACCGATCCAATGATCGAAAAATTTTTCAAAAACTCGATTGACAATACAAACCATTCCACTGCGAGAGTCTTGTCATGACAATGAACGACATTGAGCGAATTTTTGCGTAGAATATTCAATTGAATCAATCGAAAATTGGGCTTTCATTGTCATCAAATCTGAAAGTCAAAGATCGACGAGATTGAGTCGATGTTTGCTGCGGAATTATTATATCAATCAGAACGATGAAATATTTCTTTAGTTAAAGGAAACACATAAAAAAAGACCTTCATTTATAAAGCGCATTTACATATCACAAAAAAGCAATGATAACTGATCAAAAATAAAAATGTTTTAAGTAGTTGATTGGATTGTTGTTTTTTTTATTCCCAAAAGACTTGATATTCGTAGGAACCAGAACCGATATGAACAGTCATTAGACTAGTTTGAGGATCTTCGATGACATTGTTTCGTTTGTCAGCAATGGACCAAATCACTTTATAACCTTCGATAATAGTCACACATTTGGCACCGGAAAATAATGGTTCAAAAACTATTTTCGCTTGAGCGTTGGCTGGAATGGTAATCCGAAGTAAAATGGAGTTGGCAAATATATCATGTTCCTCACGAGTATAAGAAACATGGACTAAGCCATACAATGTACTCAATTGACAATCAATTTTACTTAGTAGATGTTTCTTTTCTTCAGAGACCATTCGTGGACGAATAACAATCAAGTCCGATTGAAGATCGATACCGGCTAAATGCGAATAGAACCAAGCACCGACACTAGCAAACATATGATGATTACGAGAGTTCATGCTCGGACCTTCGAATGGTGCATTCCATAATTCCCAGATGGTTGTGGCATTTTCATACGGATTGTTAAACATGAAACCATACGATGGGTAAGTGGTCGATGTAATCAATTCCATAGCAAGATCGTGATGACCATTATCCGATAGTAATGGATACAGTTGAGCTGTGGAGACAATACCTGTCGAGACATGATTTCCTTTAGCTCGGATATCTTGAACTAAATGTTGAAGAACACCATCGCGAACATTTGCTGGAACCACATTTGGTAAAGCCAATGCAAGAACCTGTGCCGCTTGCATTCCGTCAGTATAGTAACCAGTGGAAGCCTTGAAAAAGACTCGATGAAATTCTTCTGCTAATCGTTGATAGAAAGCTGTGTACGCTTGAGTATCATGGCTGTAACCAAGGATTTGTGACATATTGATCAATAATGAAACATCATGAAGAAACGCGAATGAAGCAACGAGATGACCCTCGGTCTTCGGTTGTGGTGGTGGTGGAACCCAATCACCGTAATGATATATCAGTTTAGCTAAACCTGTTATTCGATAACCATCGCGAACAGATTCGACATAAGCACGAATCGACGCGTAATGATCTCGAAGAATCTGAATATCATTGTAATGACGATACAATTGCCAAGTAATGGTTGGTAAAGCTGTGCCCCAATTAGGATCAGCTGGATAAATACCAAATGTCAGTGGAACAGTATCGGGAACGAAACCAGCTTTCAATTGGATGTCCATAATCAAAGTGAGAAAGTTTAAGTAGAATTTAATCAAATCAAAGTTGTACAGAGCTTCATTGATTGACAGAGCAGCATCACCCATCCATCCTTTACGTTCATCACGTTGTGGACTAATTAAGAAGAAAGTAAAATATTCCTCATGTTGAAAGGTTCTCGATTTTACCAGTCGGTGGGTAAAGACATTGAGTTACTCAATTGACCCCATAAGATGTTGTGTTGAATTTGATTGATCACAGGATTACTGGAAGAGAAATGTCCTTTGACCGTGGTTTCACTATGAACAACGGGACATTCGACATCATTAACCGATAATGGAGTGGGTGAACCAAAAACCGTTAAGTAACGGAAACCGTGAACCGTAAATCTAATCAAATTCGACGATCGATGAAGATCGAAAATAATGACATCAAATCCTACCGTGGTTCATAAATTTCACCGTTGGGATCACCACGAAGAATATAGGTATCACTTTGAGTTGCTCCACGAAGATTGTCCGTATAAAGTCCACCATAGGAATGACTGAAACAGCAATGACGAATAGAGACAGAATGGAGAACTGAGTTTTCCCTCACCCTGTGGAAATGACCGGTTGCGACAAAACTTCGGCATGGTGAATGTAAATACCGATGCCACGTGGACCACGGAATTTGAATCGACACCAACCGACCATATTTTGTCCCATATCGAACGTATGAACACCGAGGACAGGTGTTGAGACACTGATCGGTTGCAAGACTCCTCTGTCTTTCAACGAGGCACCAAGAATGTTTCCGATTTCTTCGTTCGATAAATAGCTTTTCTTCTCATCAACACCATGTTCCACTTCGAAATGCAGAGCATCGGATCCCGCTCGAATCGGTGGCATGTCTTGAAGAGTCAGTTGTCCATTGGCGTTGATATTCACCGGCGATGGAAGGATTTCTGGTGTAATCCAAAGAGATAATGAATCATTGAATCCAACTTGTGTCCAATTAGGACGATCATAACGAGCATTAACAATTTCACCATTGTAAACACTATCATGAATAATCGATCCTTGTCGACCTTTCCACGTTTGATCACTATAAACGTTCATTTGATCAGAGTTTTCGAAGATAATATGTAAGGCAAACATCAGACGTGGTGGACCTATGAGGAACATATAGATACTTCTAAGTTCAGTTTTTTTTAGTCTTACCATAATTAGGTTCAGGTATTGACGGTAGCAAATATTGTTCTTGACTGTACCAACCATTGCCTAATTTCACACCGACAGCATTCATACCGACTTTGATCTTGGAGGTCACATCGTAAGAAACGAAGAGTGTTCGTTTTTGATAAGTGGTCCATCCAGGATCCAATTTTCGACTAGGATCAATGTTATCACCATTCAAATACATTTCATAATAACCAATACCCGAAATGAAGACAGTGGCCGATCGAATTGGACTTGTATCTGGAACACTGAATTCTTTTCGTAATTCATTCATGTAGATTTGAGTTGAACCAATCCAATAGACTTCATCATTATGATCCATTAAGTATTGATGAAAATTGTATATCGATGTTCGAAATGGAATCGACGATGTCCATGATGTTGCTGCTTCTGATGCACTGGTCCAAAGACGAAGACGAACTTGATAATGAGTCAATTCTTCAAGATCCTTTCCGTATGGATAAGGAACATGAATCGATTGACTTGAAGTGACATGACCACTGTCCCAGAGAAGTGCATTCTGCGACAGGATTTGCAGTTGATAGGCAATCTGTCGAACATTGCGTTGGCTGGTTAGAGGCAATTTCCAAGAAAAACGTGGTCGACCTGTGTTAATGACTAAATCTTTCGTTGTTTCAGCTTTATAATAATCGATTCGAACATCGTAAGGTGCAGACAATCGATTGCCAGTGACGAAAACAACACTGAATATTACTGTGCAATACAATGACCACATTCTAAATATACTGAGAATTCGAGTTTTTTTTCTGTTTCTGCGTATATCAAAGTCTTAAATAGTTTTTCTTTCGTTTATCTTATCAGAAAACTTCTCATCATTGAAACAAGATATCGTGGCTTTGTTTTTATCGAGAGTATGATCTCCATCGACGAGAACGAAGAAACAACGCGTTCGAAACGTTCGTGTCGAGTGCACGTAGAATAAGGAGTTCAGTGCACATTCGCATGAGACCATTTTGAAGGATCAGAGTGTGGGTGAATCAAAGAAACTATTACGCGTTTCGTCCTTGCTTAAGGGGTTCTTCAGGTGACTCAGACTTTGTAGGAATCACTAATGAAATCGTTCAGAGAGTATGGAAGAGGAAGATGTCTTTTGTGTGATTTCCTTGGATTCTTGAGAGTTATAGATAATGCTGGCTGATGTGCTCTCGTAGGGTAGCTTTGTCTCTGTGGAATAATGTTTTTCCTCGCAATCTGCTGATTCTTTTGGGGAATAGGTTTTTGTTTCTTGTCGAATAACGGAATTCCCTAAAAGGATGAGGGTGTGTGTTCAGCTACCATGACGTTTGTTACGTTCCTGCTCAAGCAACATCTTCAGATGGCTTCATCAAAATGGTCTTCGAAGATGAAAATCATTCGAATGAACATTTTCCTTCTGTTGTTCGATTTAGAAGAAAACTTTTAAATCAATGCAATGGAGAAAGTTCGGCGATGGGTAGCAGTAAGATGTAGGTTAGATTTCTTCAGGTTGAAATGTGCATACGATGTTCAAAAGTTGTGTAAATCTAAAATCAGAGAGTAGTGATTAGAAAAAATGCTTAATTAACCCTTTGGTTATTGTCGCCGGTTATAAACGGTATGGACTTTTTCAGTAACTAAAACTAACGTGATCAAGCAGCTGAAGTGTGTGATACCATCATTTCATAATGGCATGTTCTAGACGCGTGACTCGAGAAAAATGCTTTGTATCGCAAACAGCCGGTTTGTCTCACATATGTGCGACAGATTTAACTGACTACAACAGTGATTCTAGTGATGTTTCTGATGAAGATTCTTCGCAACCATCAGCTCCAGTTTACAATGGAACTTGGATAACAGGATAGTTTCGTTCGGAGAAACTGACGTTTAGTCTTTCTGACAGTGGCTACACATCAACAGTTCCACGTAACTTGAAAGGTGATACTCCGATGGAGTTTTTTTTAGTTTATATTTTGGTGAAGACTTGGTAAAAACGATTATCGATCAGACCAATTGTACTATAGCTAAATTGGAAAAGAACTATCGCAGCATCTACAAGGTTGAAAATAATATTCTTTCAGACGGATAGCGTCATAAATCCAAACAGTTTATTGAAATGAGATTGTAAGGACTTGAAGAACCTTCATATACAGAACCCTCTGAACTCTTGATATTTCACTGATATGAAGTATACGAAAACTGATTTAACAGGTAAAGTTCCAACTAAATGCACTAGGAAATAGTTTATTTTTTCGTCATTTAATGGGAACAGAAATCAATAGTCAGTATAATGACCGTTAGTGTTCTTTGCTGCACAAAGTCGAGATGAATACGAGCATAGAGGACTTTCAAACAATTCAGTGTTCGTTTTCATTTGCAAGATCAGTTTTGAGTACCTCAATCAGATATCGATTATTTTTAGTTTCTGATAACATTTTTTTAAACTCCATCTTTGATTATTGATTCAGTATGTTGGGCTACATTGAGATCGGAAGAATTACCAGGCCAAATATCGTTGCCTCAACACTTCACTTCGTTGTCTTCGATTAACGGTTGAGTCTGGTTTGTTCGCATGCATGGTGCGTTATCATGAACAAATATAATTTCATCAGGATCAATAACATCTTCTTCATTTTTAAGAAAGAAAATACATGCTGGGTCCAAATTGCATCATGAAAATCTTGACTAGTCCAGGACTCGTGTCTATCTTTGATGAACCAAAGTAATCTTTTGTAATTAAGCATAATAAAAACTCCGATATATGCTTGATGTTGAACCATTTCACAATATCTTTCATCTTCTTCAATATCTTTAATACTTCTTAATCAAATTTGGTCGTTCTGATAATTTGGTCTGCGAACGATCCATATATAAAACTCATCAGATGGTGCAAGATGAAGAAAGTCTTCACATAGCCATAAACGATCTGATATATCAGTAACAGATTTTAACGGTTCTAGAATAACATGAAATGGTTTTAATCCTTCTCTATGACGGTAATGATTGATGGTCCTTGGATTAACATATTCTTTTTGCTTTTCTGTAATATCCTTCGCCACACTAGAACAACTTTTTCCTTGTCGGCTACTTGCTTGACGAATGATATCTTGACTACTTTGCGATAATTTGAGCTTTGGACTAGTATTTGAATAATCAGCAAAACATTGATTATATGATTTTTCCCGCCATTCTTTGACAAATCGAGTGGTGCGGTGAATTTTACCCGCGATCCATTCTCTGTTGTTCAGTGTCATAAGCACCAGCCATTTCTAAGTGATCATACTTTCTTCATTATGCAACAGGGTGGATTTTTTAATGCAATAAGTCGATATGAAAATGACCTTATATATCACTCCACAAATTACGTAAACTTCTCTTCTATTATTTTCAAACAGAAGGAAGACTAAAAAGTTTTATAGCTGCTATCAGGAGGAGCAAACATAAGAATGTAATAGGGTTATCTTATTTTCTGAGTCATAGTTAGGTCTTGTTTTCATTAGAACAATAGTTTTTTAAATTTTTATAAAGAAAACTCTTTCTTTTACCTTGCCTTACAACTCACTTAAATATATAATACAGCGATTACGTTCTAAGAAACTCTAAAACTTCAGAGAGCTCTGTACATGAAGATTCTTCAAGTCCTTACAATTTCGTATTAATAAATTCCATTTTCACGAGCTTTCATTTGGTATAAAATTCATTATGTTTTCTGCTTGGATTTATGACAGTATCCCTGGAATAATATTATTTCCAATCCTGTACATATGATGACAAGAAGGAGCAGATTAAGCTGGGTGTGGGTGGGGCGTGGGTGTGTATCAGGTGAAGGCTAATACGTACATCTGCGCAGACATCCACACCCCACACACACTCACACCTCACACCCACACCCTCTCATGGTCATGATATTAATTTATTGTTATTCAGGAGTGCGATAGAATCGGTAAGCAAAGAGCTACAAAACTATATCGAGATTCTCTTTCTAACTTCTATCAATGAGATATCGAAACCATTAGAGTTCAATTTACTAGCTCATTTTTTTCGAAAAAATAATAAAAAAATGGACATTTTTTCAGTATTTTCATAGAAAAATCTCTTTTTTAACGTAGGAGAAAAAATCAATTCTTTGTAAAACTTATTCAAAAAAATGTCCACGGTCCCTTATCTCTGAAATGGACAATAGTTGTTCTACTCACTTTTTTTCTACTAATGGAGCGTTCACGACGAACATAGTAACGGAGCCGGGACCAGTTACATAGACTGTAAAGTCACCCACCATAAAGGTATTGTAAGATGATACAACAAGGATGTATTGATGATTATTTTTCAGAAATACGACCAATTCACATGGCCAATCAATATCGTTCGAAGATTGCTCTGCAAGCAAATTCGTTCATGGACTGAGTGGATCGAAGCTATTGCTATAGCAAGCGAAGATTGTTTGTATAAAACTACTGCTGCAGAATCTATAAGTACCGTTGATTGAAGGCAACACTTGGATAGCTTGATAGTAGTGATCACTCGTTAAACAACTAGTGCAACGATATGTTGGATTATTTTTCGTCAACGAAGAGGAGTAAAACGAAATGACGGCTGATGAAGGTGCTATTTAAAAAAAATTAAAATAAATCAAGATTTTCAAATCTATTCAATAGAAAGAAAACTATTTCTGTTTCTTTTATCAATATTCGAAAACTAAATTATTTAATTTGAATTGAAACAGGGTTGAGATTTCTATACAAAAACCGATGTATCTTTGAATAAAGTGAATGTAGACTTCGAAGGGTGTAGGTGTGGGTGTGTGGTGGGTGTGGGTGTGGGTGTGACTGTGGATATTGTTCTGATCTACCAAAACATTCGGATCACCCACATCCACACACCTGCACCCACACCCACCCACACCCACACCGACACCCACACCCACCCCACACCCACCCTTGTGCCCTATTTTCTTATTTATTTTATTCATCGATACTCGATCCTTGCGGGAAGATGTATCGATTGTGAGAAATTCTCTATTTATATTACCACCACCAGGCGCTGTGGACGGACTTTGATTTTCTTTCAATCCTTGGTCATTACTTTTTTCGACTTGCTTTTTATTATTATTCGTCCATTGTGAATTGCAATTAGTTATTAATGTTTCCGGTCTTTATTGTGTAGATATCAGCAATGACAATTCAATTTCGAGAATGGCCACGTTCTAATTTCTGAATTATGATAGAAGACCATAAGATTGCTAGCGCGAGTCATTTTCGTTCTAGTGATGAAGTTCTATTTTCCTTGTTGTTCGATATCATCTTATTACTTGAATTGGATCTCACTTTTCAGCTCTCAGAAGAAGAAAAATGCCTTTCTAACTCGAAAATTTTCGTATCTCCCTAATGATCAAACCCTAATTGCGCCCTCGTTCACTACCATCAACAAGAGAAATAGTCATTGCGCTAGGTAATACAACTGGAACCAAAGCAGAAACAGCTACAATATGATACAAGCCTTTTGTATATTGTGCTTTTTCCTTGGAGTTCCGCAAATCTGAGAAGATCTACAAAATAATGTTTGAACAATCCCTGATATCAGCTCTATGGCTTTCAACTAGTAAAAATAGTTTAAACTCGAATAGTGTTACAATGTTAAAGAATCGAAGTAATAGTATATAACACACCATACCGATGCCATTTAAGATTTTGACATTTTTGTCATTATGATCAAGCATTCAAAACTTTCTATGAATGAGTCAGATACATCAGTAGTGTCATA